CTCAGCGATAGATTTAGTGTAATAAATTGGCTATGCAGTAACTCCTGTGTTTGTAATTAAGAGAGCGCCCTAACCTGGCAGGGTGCGAAAACTCTACTCTAACCCTCCGTTTTCCGGTTGCCAACCCTTGCCCTCGCCAGCCTCCTTCTTCTACCGCTTATTCAGCCTATCTTTCTTGCCGTCTTTCCTTGTTTCTTCACCCCTCTCTCCCTCAGCAAGCTATTTATTATTGCAGTTTTCTTACAGTCGTCCACTGCACGCACTGAAACGCGTTAAATCATTCTTGAACTGCCATACGATTAGTCTTCAGTAACTCAAGTGGCGATCATGTTCGAGACGAACTGAAGACCGGTTACTCAGACTAAGCAATCCTCAAATCTTCGTCCTGCCGAGTGGCCTTTAAGCGGTAACATAATCGTACCGAACAATGACGGAACGATGGCTAGCAGACGCCGCGGCGAAGAAATTGAGAAAGTTGGGCTCGCGGCAAATACTGGGCTATCCAAAGATGCAAAGCCTGCTGGGCCACCCCACTATCTAAGCGCAGATGTAATCAGATTTGATCTCAACGAATAATCTCAACGGATGACGCACCTTTTAAAAAAGCCAACGCGAGGATTGGGCCGCAATATGGTGTTGGTGTTATGTGCTGCGTGCGTAAGCAGTGCATGTGCGTTAGTGCTTGTGCGAGATGTTTGTTCGTGTGTGCCCTTGTGTGCCTAAAGCCCCCCGCACAAAGGTGGCGCATTCGGGGCGGCGCCGCCATTTTGCGCACGTAAACTACCCACACGGTGCGCTACGCGTGCACACAAGTCGCAACGGCGCTGAGCCAGAAAAATCACAGCACGAATAAGATATGTTGTGCGCCGTTTGGGCGCGCGCGCGAATGGCACGCGTGTGCGGGGGCCTTAGAAGACGTAATTAGTTGCGTGTTTGTGAACGCGTTCGTCAATTCGTTCACAATCGCGGGCGGATATGCATGTACAAAGTATGTGTCATATGACGTCGGGACTTCACAGAGTGCCTTAATTACGATCGACTAATAATAAAATTAGGAGTGAATAATAATAGAATGATAAGATAAAACAAGAATATTATAGAATAAGATAGATATATTATTATTCACACTGATAAAATGAACACACTTCGCATCTTGCACATTGTCCTGTTTCTGGCTACAGCAACACGCAATACGTGGCATGTTTATGAGGTTTCGTGAGGGCTAATATCGCGTCCTAATGTTATCATCTATAGAGAAATATATTCCAAACATACTTCAACTATGGTCGCCTAGCATCACTTCATCATCACAATGACATCATTTCGCGGCTGGATACCAAGCCCTCATATACTCATCGCTGCTGGAAATATTTCATATCACCATCGGTGGCATCTGAAAAATTCACCTCTCGTTCACGGAACATCACGGCATAAGGATCTTATCGCATGCCGGTGCTGCAGATATGTTTCTACCTAAAAGGCCGCCGCACACGCAGCCGATTTACAAAGACTGAAGCATGAAGCGATGAGCGAATGAACGATGATAGGGTGTGCGCGTTCATTTGTAGACATTTTATTTTATATCGGTGATCGTTCCAAATCAAAACATGTTTATGATTTTGAACCGATAGCGCCGATGAGCCGATGAGCCGATTTTTAAGGCCGCCTGCACACGACTACAATCGCTTCATCGCTTCATCGCTTCATCGCTTCATCGTTTGTAAAATCGGCTGTGTGCGCGCCCTAAAGAACGCATCACCGCAAAAGCAGTGGCGGCTCGATGTGAATTTGTGTTTTGTGCTTGTGTATGTGCTTCTGTGTGTCTCTCTGTTGTGTGGTGTGTGTGTGTGTGTGTGTGTGGTGTGTGTGTGTGTGTGTGTGTGCTGTGTGTGTGTGTGTGTATGTGTGTGTGTGTTGTGTGTGTGTTGTGTGTGTTGTGTGTGTGTGTGTGTGTGTGTGTGTGTCTGTGTGTGTGCGTTACGTGTGTGTGCGCGCGTATTCGTGTGTGCGTGTAGCTGAGGCGTGTGCGCATAGCGTGCGTGGTTGCTAATATCGCTCGAAGGTTATTATGGGGGCGAGATGGAGGCAATTCGCGAGATGAAACAGTAAACATCCACATGGCAGATACTTATTACCTTCATGCAATAAAACCCGCTATCTGATCATCTTTTATGCATTGGCTTCTCTCCATCTTTCCTGTATAACCACCTAGTAATAAATAAATCTGCCAGGTTAATTTTATTTTCGAGTGACAGCGCTTTGCTATGTCGAACCGATATGAATTTATCCCCAGT